ATGTCTCAACTCCGCATGAGCGGGCAGATTTCCATCCACGCAGGCAGCCAGCCTGTCCAGGCCAAGGCTCAGAATTTCTACTTTCACGTTGGAGATCACAAGGTGAGGATGACGGAGGTGAAGACAGAGCTGGAGAAGGCAGGAGATTTGCAATGTTCATGTTCATGTGTTCTTTTTGAGGCTCTGTGGTGGACAGGCTGCCCACACAACGCACATATCATATATTCTTGCAGTAGGGCAGGGCCCAACTTTGAAAGACTCTGGCTGGATCTGAATTGTTTCTCTTGCAGGGACTTCCAAAATCTTTCAACATGAGATACATTCGACGCCATTGCGTATGCCGTTGTCTTCTGAAACAGAGCTGATCTTTGTTCTTCACTTACCCTGTTGCAGGGCTTCGATGTGTACATTCCTGAGACCAGTGTTGAGGAAGTCTGGGAGGTGATGGCGTCTGCGTGCACTGACCTAGCAGAGTTTCCTGAGCTCCGTGATGTCATTCTCGCCGTGAGCGGCGCGTGCAGGAGGCACAAAGCCTCGCAGTTCCTGATGTCTCAACTCCGCATGAGCGGGCAGATTTCCATCCACGCAGGCAGCCAGCCTGTCCAGGCCAAGGCTCAGAATTTCTACCTCCATGTTGGAGATCGTAAGGTGAGGATGACGGAGGTGAAGACAGAGCTGGAGAAGGCAGGAGATTTGCAATGTTCTTGTTAATGTATTCCTTTTGAGGCTCTGTGGTGGACAGGCTGCCCACATAACCACACATATCATATATTCTTGCAGTAGGGCAGGGCCCAACTTTGAAAGACTGGCTGGATCTGAATTGTTTCTCTTGCAGGGACTTCCAAAATCTTTCAACATGAGATAAATTCGACGCCATTGAATATGCCGTTGTCTTCTGAAAGAGAGCTGATCTTTGTTCTTCACTTACCCTGTTGCAGGGCTTCGATGTGTACATTCCTGAGACCAGTGTTGAGGAAGTCTTGGATGTGATGGCGTCAGCGTGCACTGACCTAGCAGAGTTGCCTGAGCTCTGTGATGTCATTCTCGCCGTGAGCGGCGCGTGCAGGAGGCACAAAGCCTCGCAGTTCCTGATGTCTCAACTCCGCATGAGCGGGCAGATTTCCATCCACGCAGGCAGCCAGCCTGTCCAGGCCAAGGCTCAGAATTTCTACTTTCACGCTGGAGATCACAAGGTGAGGATGACGGAGGTGAAGACAGAGCTGGGGAAGGCAGGAGATTTGCAATGTTAATGTTCATGTGTTCTTTTTGAGGCTCTGTGGTGGACAGGCTGCCCACATAACCACGCATATCATAAATATATATATATATATATTCTTGCAGTAGGGCAGGGCCCAACTTTGAAAGACTCTG